ATGAGGATCCAGATTTCTTATGTTTGTTGAGTAGTCTATATGAGGATCCAGATTTTCCTATGTTTGTTGAGTAGTCTGTATGAGGATCCAGATTTCCTCTATGCTTGTTGAGTAGTCTATATGAGGATCCAGATTTACTCTATGTTTGTTGAGTAGTCTATATGAGGATCTAGATTTCTTATGTTTGTTGAGTAGTCTATATGAGAATCCAGATTTCCTATGTTTGTTGAGTAGTCTATATGAGGATCCAGATTTCCTCTATGTTTGTTGAGTAGTCTATATGAGGATTTCAGATTTACTCTATGTTTGTTGAGTAGTCTATATGAGGATCCAGATTTACTCTATGTTTGTTGAGTAGTCTATATGAGGATCCAGATTTACTCTATGTTTGTTGAGTAGTCTATATGAGGATCCAGATTTACTCTATGTTTGTTGAGTAGTCTATATGAGGATCCAGATTTCTTATGTTTGTTGAGTAGTCTATATGAGGATCCAGATTTTCCTATGTTTGTTGAGTAGTCTGTATGAGGATCCAGATTTCCTCTATGTTTGTTGAGTAGTCTATATGAGGATCCAGATTTACTCTATGTTTGTTGAGTAGTCTATATGAGGATCCAGATTTCTTATGTTTGTTGAGTAGTCTATATGAGAATCCAGATTTCCTATGTTTGTTGAGTAGTCTGTATGAGGATCCTGATTTCCTCTATGTTTGTTGAGTAGTCTATATGAGGATTTCAGATTTACTCTATGTTTGTTGAGTAGTCTATATGAGGATCCAGATTTCCTCTATGTTTGTTGAGTAGTCTATATGAGGATCCAGATTTCCTCTATGTTTGTTGAGTAGTCTATATGAGGATCCAGATTTCCTCTTTGTTTGTTGAGTAGTCTATATGAGGATCCAGATTTACTCTATGTTTGTTGAGTAGTCTATATGAGGATCCAGATTTACTCTATGTTTGTTGAGTAGTCTATATGAGGATCCAGATTTTCCTATGTTTGTTGAGTAGTCTGTATGAGGATCCAGATTTCCTCTATGCTTGTTGAGTAGTCTATATGAGGATCCAGATTTACTCTATGTTTGTTGAGTAGTCTATATGAGGATCTAGATTTCTTATGTTTGTTGAGTAGTCTATATGAGAATCCAGATTTCCTATGTTTGTTGAGTAGTCTATATGAGGATCCAGATTTCCTCTATGTTTGTTGAGTAGTCTATATGAGGATTTCAGATTTACTCTATGTTTGTTGAGTAGTCTATATGAGGATCCAGATTTACTCTATGTTTGTTGAGTAGTCTATATGAGGATCCAGATTTACTCTATGTTTGTTGAGTAGTCTATATGAGGATCCAGATTTACTCTATGTTTGTTGAGTAGTCTATATGAGGATCCAGATTTCTTATGTTTGTTGAGTAGTCTATATGAGGATCCAGATTTTCCTATGTTTGTTGAGTAGTCTGTATGAGGATCCAGATTTCCTCTATGTTTGTTGAGTAGTCTATATGAGGATCCAGATTTACTCTATGTTTGTTGAGTAGTCTATATGAGGATCCAGATTTCTTATGTTTGTTGAGTAGTCTATATGAGAATCCAGATTTCCTATGTTTGTTGAGTAGTCTGTATGAGGATCCTGATTTCCTCTATGTTTGTTGAGTAGTCTATATGAGGATTTCAGATTTACTCTATGTTTGTTGAGTAGTCTATATGAGGATCCAGATTTCCTCTATGTTTGTTGAGTAGTCTATATGAGGATCCAGATTTCCTCTATGTTTGTTGAGTAGTCTATATGAGGATCCAGATTTCCTCTTTGTTTGTTGAGTAGTCTATATGAGGATCCAGATTTACTCTATGTTTGTTGAGTAGTCTATATGAGGATCCAGATTTACTCTATGTTTGTTGAGTAGTCTATATGAGGATCCAGATTTACTCTATGTTTGTTGAGTAGTCATATATGAGGATCCAGATTTCTTATGTTTGTTGAGTAGTCTATATGAGGATCCAGATTTTCCTATGTTTGTTGAGTAGTCTGTATGAGGATCCAGATTTCCTCTATGTTTGTTGAGTAGTCTATATTAGGATCCAGATTTACTCTATGTTTCGTTGAGTAGTCTATATGAGGATCCGGATTTCTTATGTTTGTTGAGTAGTCTATATGAGAATCCAGATTTCCTATGTTTGTTGAGTAGTCTCTATGAGGATCCTGATTTCCTCTATGTTTGTTGAGTAGTCTATATGAGGATTTCAGATTTACTCTATGTTTGTTGAGTAGTCTATATGAGGATCCAGATTTCCTCTATGTTTGTTGAGTAGTCTATATGAGGATCCAGATTTACTCTATGTTTGTTGAGTGGTCTATATGAGGATCCAGATTTCCTCTTTGTTTGTTGAGTAGTCTATATGAGGATCCAGATTTACTCTATGTTTGTTGAGTAGTCTGTGAGGATCCAGATTTACTCTATGTTTGTTGAGTAGTCTATATGAGGATCCAGATTTACTCTATGTTTGTTGAGTAGTCTATATGAGGATCCAGATTTCTTATGTTTGTTGAGTAGTCTATATGAGGATCCAGATTTTCCTATGTTTGTTGAGTAGTCTGTATGAGGATCCAGATTTCCTCTATGTTTGTTGAGTAGTCTATATGAGGATCCAGATTTACTCTATGTTTGTTGAGTAGTCTATATGAGGATCCAGATTTCTTATGTTTGTTGAGTAGTCTATATGAGAATCCAGATTTCCTATGTTTGTTGAGTAGTCTGTATGAGGATCCTGATTTCCTCTATGTTTGTTGAGTAGTCTATATGAGGATTTCAGATTTACTCTATGTTTGTTGAGTAGTCTATATGAGGATCCAGATTTCCTCTATGTTTGTTGAGTAGTCTATATGAGGATCCAGATTTCCTCTATGTTTGTTGAGTAGTCTATATGAGGATCCAGATTTCCTCTTTGTTTGTTGAGTAGTCTATATGAGGATCCAGATTTACTCTATGTTTGTTGAGTAGTCTATATGAGGATCCAGATTTACTCTATGTTTGTTGAGTAGTCTATATGAGGATCCAGATTTACTCTTTGTTTGTTGAGTAGTCTATATGAGGATCCAGATTTACTCTATGTTTGTTGAGTAGTCTATATGAGGATCCAGATCTACTCTATGATTGTTGAGTAGTCTATATGAGGATCCAGATTTTACCAGAATCCAGAATTGGCACCTATCACAGTATTAGTTTGTCAAAATCTATGGAAGACAGTTCAATCAGTTGTTAAAGAAAATCACAAGCTTCCATGTTTGGTAACAGATTGACGAAATGTTTGCCTCGTCATCTTATCTAATAAAGACGTACATTTACCTTTGATTACATGAAAACCACATGGACCGTTATGTCCTTCTGGGTGACTGTATGATGCATTAATATATACAGGTGTCTGAGGATGTTTTTTAATTGCAGTGAGGGTATATTACTCAAATAAGTTTAGTTCGCTCATGTTGACAAGGGTATGTTCCTATTTCTAAAAACAGCGTCGAAACTTGACATACATGAATTGTTTAAAACATATTTCATAATTAATCGGGGCGGTTGGGTTGTCTGGTGGTTAAAGCGTTCTCTCATCGCGCCAAAGGCCCGGGTTTGATTCCCCACATGGCTACAATGAGTGAAGCCCATTTCTGGTGTCCCCCACCGTGATATTGTTGGACCATTGCTAAAACCATACTCACTCATAATTAATCACATGTCAGATCAAGAGTCGGAACTATTAATCTCCTAGTTTTACTGAACAGAGCTTAAAGATACTTTATTGGTCCAATGTCAATGTCGGTCCAATCTAGAGTCGAGTTTACCAACTTAAGTATACAATAGAGTGTATCATTTACATTGGTGGTCATGTTCTACTTAAACACCTTTATATTGGTACAATAACAGCCTCGCATGGACGTTATCTAAACACGCGAGGGGCTTTGTACTTGTTGTCACGCTGTTCCTGGCACATGTCATGGGTCATTGTTTGTCTACTCATTAACATTTTGATGGAGTCTTACCGTACATGCTGATACAGAATCTAGTTATCAGCTACATGAAAACTATCACGAGCATTGCTGTTACCGTTAAGTCTGCAATGTAGCCTAAAGATTAACGCGTTCGCTTATCACTTCGAGGGGACTAGTAGATAGAGCGTCTGCCCGGAGAGCGGAAGGTCTTTGGTTCGATCCCCGGCCGCGTGATACCAAAAGTCGTTAAACGACTTATGGTTACCCTGAATGGCTCTTGGCATTAAGGTGATAAAACAAGGACTGGTTGGCTCGGACTTAGTATGTGTCAGAGTAGAGTTTGACAAACTGCGGTAGGGTATCTCAGTGGGCTATCACTATATCACCGGCTTTAGCGCGCACGCACACGCACGCACACACGTTAAACCACATTTCATCAAACCGTCTATCCACTCCCAAGATCCGGTTTTCGGTTCCCATATAAATGTGAAGCCCGTTATTTGCGTCTTGGTATTTTTTCGCGATGCCGCTTAAAACTGCGTTGAATCTCATTACGGAAAGGACATTTAGAGGCACTTCACATTATTAATGACAGTGATAATGCATGTGTCTGCCATCTAGTACTGGTGTAAATGATTGGTCACATACCTGATAATGTTATTTACTCGTCAGGATGATGACGTTTTTTGACGATCTGTTTTTAATAACTGACAGACACGCGAAGATCCGGGGTAGAATAGGTCTTCAGCAACCAATCCTTGCCGTAAAAGGCGACTAAGCTTGTCGTAAGAGGCGATTAACGGCATCGGGTGGTCAGGCTCGCTGACTTGGTTGATGGATGTCATCGTATCCCAATTGCGTGGATCGATGCTCGTGATGTCAATCACTGGATTGTCTTGTCCAGACTCGATTATTTACAGACCGCTAAATGTCAAATCGTGTTTCTAGCTACTGTGTTGCTAGTTTTATTGAAATGCAAACCTCTTCAGCTATTTGATCAGTGTTTTTGTGTTGTATTCCAGATGCAGTGGCGTGAACTAGAGCGGGCTATTGCCGACAAGAAGACCGGCAGTCTGACAACATGGCACGCCACCTACATCGTGTGGCTTACCCTGGCCATGCTGATCATCAGCAGTCAGCTGTTCTTCATCGTCCTCATCCTTGCCAAGCGGACACTCCGCATGCAGCTCAAGAACCTCCTCGTAGTCAATATCTGTGTGGTTAACCTCATTATGGGCGGGTTCATCATGCCGACCGTCATTCACCTCATTCTGGACAGCTCGGAGGATGAATGTGTTCTCCGAATGACAGTGAGAGCCCTGAATGACTACCTTCAGCCTGCACTGTCCGTCCTGACCGCCATTTCCCTGGTCATAGACCGATTCCTGTTCATCATGCAAAAGCCTATCACGATCAAGTGGCTGAGGATTGTTGTTTCTGTACTGCTGATAATAGCGCCATGGGTTATTGGTGTTCTCCTTGCACTTCCATTGTTCCTTAAGTCATTTGAGATGGGAGACCCAGAGACAGGTTGTGTACAGGAGGTGAACCTTTGGAACATCGTCTGCGCCCATGTCCTTTGCTTTGTGCTTCCTTCAGTCGCACTCTTCGTCCTTGCAACACTGTCTGGTCTCTGCAGCACCAATAAGAAGAAGGTACCAGCCAAGGAATTGATGTATGACTGCAGAGATAAGCCTGTATCATTCAAAGGAGAATCAATCAAAGTGGTGGTTTTTGTGTGCTTCATGACCATCTTCCCAGAGGTACCTTACTTCGTCATAAGCCTCCTCAGGTACACCACAACATGCGACCAGCCCTACTGCCTCGACTTCTTCCAGGGGCTCAAGGTGTCAGTGTGGCTGAGGGCAGCCAAGGCGCTCGTCTTCCCTTTCATCTGGTTGTGGTTCACCGACATCAAGGCCGCCATCATATGTCGGCCGACCGGAGCGGTGGATGAAGACGACGACATCTCCGACGACCAGCCCACAGATATGTCCCAACAGGATACCATGTTGCTCCGGTACAGGTGAAGAGGGGTAGCTAAAATGATGACACGTGTCGACATTGTACAAGAACACCTACCGCCATGTGTCGAACAACTGCTAATCATTAACTGGTCCTCTTTACTGTGCACATTGAGTGATAACATCAGACACATGCAGAGTGCCCACCTCCATAAGCAAACTCATTGAAGTGGAGGTATTTTAGTGAAACCGTTTTCTAATGCAAGACGAAGCGTTTGACAGGTAACGGTGCCCAAAAGCGTGCTTTTCTGAAGCTGTGGATGTTTGCTGTCTGTGCTACAATAGGACTGATCAATGTGGCTTTACATTGAGGTCATTAACCTTCCATCTACCACTTGTTTTTTACTATTGGGGATTAGTACAGATGTGATATTCCTCTGAGGATTCATTTTGCCAAGTGTTTGCTTTGTACATTTTGAAAAGGTCCATGTAAGACAGTTATCTCCCTTTGCTTCATTCAATACAACTGTCTTTTCATCCAATATCTTTCATCTATATCATAACATAAAACGTATTCAACCATTGACCATAAAGTACAAATTCTCACTGATGTGTCTTTCAGTACTTATTGGCCAACATACTAAAGAAGGCCAGTGTGACCCCTTGTTAACCTTTGACACACACGGTCATGGTTAGAGGTCGATTCTTCCCTATCCCTCCTTCGTGCCCTGAGATCATATATACAGGTTTGTGATCTAGTCAGTCTGTCGTAGTTACACAATGGGACACAGTCTGTTTTCCGTCCCAGACGTCACTCGGTGTTTGTCATATAGGCATTAATCTACAAGATAGCGTTAGAAGTAGAACACATCGTGGAAGTGGATTGATAACATAATATTGGCCTAGATCAAGAAGCATTTATTGCAGATGATAGATCGATAGCGTAGATTATTTTAACCCTTTATGCAACCGAGCACGTGGGTTTGAAACTTCTTAGACAATGGTGCACTCCCGGAAAGTTGAGGCATCTGAATTCTAACATAACATTCCTATGATTGTTTATGAATCAATACACTAACAACATGGGTAGGGAAGATAGAAAAGTGGTGTGAATAAAATATGTATTATTAGGATAGTCGTGATTTACAACAGATTTGGCTAAAAAAGATGACACATCTCTTTCTGTTAGTTTGGGGGAGTACGTTTTCGCGTTATTAGCATCACATCGGTTACGCTTCATTGACATTATACATATTGCCTGATGTTGGGATATATTCATAAGAATGTTAATTGCTGGCAAATGACAGTCGCCTGTCCTGATCATCCAAGTGCATCTAACGTTAATTAGCTGTTGATGGAGCTAACTGCGTGCTTTGAGTTATACATAGGAGTCATCAGTCAGCTGTCAGCGTTAGCCGGAATGTAAATACTGAATACATGCATACATTGGAGTAATTAAACGCCAGTAGGTTTGTTCTAGATACTAGGTTTTATCCTACTCAAGCTGTCAAATCTATCACAAACCGTCTGGCGCATAATAGTCCCCTCTTTCTTCCGCCAGGTTATAAGAAATATAAAAGCTTGTATATCGTATGACGCAAGTAATCATTTGAACATGTTAGACCGAATATCACAGTGATGTCAATCGTTTTAGATACTTGAATTATTGTATATGTAAAAATATTGCTAAAACAGTCACAAGGGCACACCTATATATTGTAACATGTCAAAAATATCCACTTTGATAATTATCTTGTCATGTGTATTCTAGTCCAGATAAGACACGTATGTCACTGTTGGACTGACAATCCTACGTTGTAGATATATGTGTACCACGTGTACACTTTGATGAAGTGTGATTATTGAGCAGATGCTTAGCTTTCCGAGCTACACAGTAATTCCAGCATGTAAAGATTTTTTGTTCTTTTTCAAATAAAATAGCAAACTATACAATCTTGTGTTTTGTGATACGAATGTGCATATGTTTTATGAATGTATGATCAGTTTTGAATTCTGAATATGGTACGGATTTTCACATAGAGTCGTAAAACGGCATTTCTACACATAGGGCATGTTACAAGATCAGTGTGCAGCTTATGGAGCTATCTGGGGCTCACTTGACGAGCCTGCCGTGAATAAGTGCTGTCAAGGCGACCAGCTTTCACTTGGCGATTACAACGTACCCTTGTTTACTTCTACAACCCTGGGCAAACCTGACATGGCGCCACGAAGGTACTGCCGTGAGGAGCTCACCGACCTTTATGAATATCACTATTAAGTACTACAAGGCTCAATTGCAAAAACAAAGGAAATTATTGTCTGTGGAATAAGACACTCATCCGCGTGAAAAATACGTCGCCCATGTCTCCAAGGTTGTGCCAGCGGCACTGTAGATGATGGATGGGTGTGTGTCATGTCGCTCCTGACTGATAGCTATCTATCAAATGTCACCCCGTGGTTATATATACAGACAGCTGGACGTGACCTCTGGCAGTGTTCAACTCGCAGATAAGATGATGTCATTTCACACGAGCTAGGTCAAGTACGAGGCTTACGTGAAATCAGGATCTGACATTACATCAACCTATTGATGTTAACCTATTTTAAAAGGTTTAAGGAACCTGACTACAGTAGCAGTTTGTTGCATTAAACACGTGTGAGAAATGACATATACGTTGTACTGTGAAGATCAAGTCGGATAGCTGGTGGACTGGGGGGTGATGTAATATAAAGTGCATACACGGATCCGCGAGAGAGGATTCAGGTGTGCCCCTCTCCCACCACCCTTCTAAACATTTAAAATATGAAAACATAACCAAGTCATTTTTCATGTTTTCAACATAAACAACACGACTACCAAAATTATCTACCGATTTTTCAAAAGTCTGTATCCAATATTGTACATACTGGGTCAATTTTTTACCTGAGACGTGACTCGTTATATAATAGCTAACCACTGAGAGATTAAAATCCTTGTTTGTAATCCCGAAGGAGCATGAGATATCCCATGCAAGCCTGCTGATTATATGTTATATTATATGAACGCTTCGCTTCATTCCTGTCTTTTTTTGGAGTGTGTTCTTCATTCGTCAATGATTGCTTCATTTATTTATAATTGTTTGCAGTGTTGTAAGTTTTATTATTGTTTTCATTTTATGTTATATTTCATATACATTTTCTGTGCTATGCACTTGCCTTACATAGGCATCGTGATTATATCATGGCCCAAACCCTCAGTTCATTATGTTAAAACAAAATTTTGTTTTGGAATATTCAAGGTGTCAACAATATTGACCGCACGTATGTTTAAGGTCGTGTTGAGTTTCCCGACTTTATTGTTCTTACAGACACTTGTATGAGTGAAAATGATGCAGTGACTGGAACATTAGATTCAAATTTTGGAGGATATAGCAGGACATATGACTGACATATAGTCTATGCAATATTTTGCCCAATGCATTTCTCTCCTCTAAAGTAAGGGGCGGTCGGGTAGCCTAGTGGTTAAAGCGTTCGCTCGTCACGCCGAAGACCCGGGTTCGATTCCCGACATGGGTACAATGTGTGAAGCCCATTTCTGGTGTCCCCCGCCGTGATATTGCTGGAATATTGCTAAAAGCGGCGTAAAACCATACTCAGTCAGTCAGTCAGTCCTCTAAAGTAAATACAAATCATCTTCCTAATGCTGATTTCACAGAGCTGGCTAGACTTGCTTTAGATCTAGATTGTTTTCATAAAATACATACATTCCACAGTCATGGTGCAAGACTGAATCCTGGAATGAACTCCTCGATTATGCTTACAGGACATGCCCACTGTGGACGAGTGCTCCTTCTATATGAACAAATACGATGATTCTGTCGGAGTGCTAGACACGTGAGTTGGTGACATGTTTTGGTGCAATATACTAGTGCCCAGTAAACTCCAGTGTATGGAAGAACAAATCATGATACATTTCCACTGCTTGTAGACATGATCAGCACTTATGAATTGTGACACGTGGATGTTATTTCAACGCTAGAAAAATGTAGCAGATATAATGGATCATTTCTCTGACAAACAGGTCCCGCTGCCTTCAGCTGTGAACACGAAACATCTGCCTATGAACAGGAACAATATTGACTCCACAGTTAATCATTTCGGCAAGGTATTACTGCAGTCATATATGAACACTAATACATGCGCACTAAATGGTCGAACAACTGGTTATATCTTTGAAAACTTTACTCGTTGCAAGTAGTGAAGTATTAAATAATTAAAATTAGCAACTATCATATGGTTGAAATTCTGAACGTGTATCCATTTACACCTGTGCGATCTTATCACTGTGCATAACATCCGAACATTCAACAACTCCTACCTGAAACTCCAAACAACCTCCTACCTGAAACTCCAAACAACCTCCTACCTGGAACTCCAAACAACCTCCTACCTGGAGCTCCAAACAACCTCCTACCTGGAACTCCAAACAACCTCCTACCTGAAACTCCAAACAACCTCCTACCTGAAACTCCAAACAACCTCCTACCTGGAACTCCAAACAACCTCCTACCTGGAGCTCCAAACAACCTCCCCTCTGGAACTCCAAACAACCTCCTCTCTGTAACTCCAAACAACCTCCTACCTGGAACTTCAAACAAGCCTCCTACCTGGAACATCAAGTTCACATGAAAGGATAACAGAAATTGATAAAAAATATTTGAAAAGTTGACAAATGTCATGCAATCTGCGTGGATTTAGTATAACAATCAACCGTTTAACAAAAACTACAGGGATGACCTATTGACTACATTGGACTCTTTCCACAAATACTGAGTCCAAAGAATAGTTGATCCTCATAAATCAGGTCGTAGGTGAAGATGGTGACGAATGTGATGAACGCTGTATTATAGTGACTGAATGGGAATTTGAAATACCGTGCCTTTCACGGACATGGTACAGAAGGCAATTATTTATAAGACTTAGTGGAATTAACTGCAACGATCAATATTAACATAGACCAATAACCGTATACGATCTTTGATATGTTGTGAAATAATAAAACCTGGTTGCCTGGACATGATTCTGACTGACATGTTTACACAGTCCAATATGTCACTTGCCTCATCACTTCTTACCATAATTCAATCATGTACTGATATTCCCGACACCACGACGAACGTTTTACCTTGTGACAGTGCATAAACAGGGACGCTGATGTAAATAAGTATAGCTGCATTGCACGAGGAAGCTTTCCCAACTACTTTTGTCAACCATTAATAATAGAATTTGTGGCCACATGGACACAAATTAATTAATGGACAATGCTTTCGGATGAACTTCCTTCCAACAAACATTCATTCTAAAAAGCCTTATAAAGAGATGCAAAGAAATTAAAATAAAATGGTGTGCCTTTTTTGTGGATTTTAGCAAATTCTCAATTTGGAGACACGGCTTAGCTACAAGTTAATTAATTATGGAATATACGTGGAAATCTTCCATCTCAGATGTCAGCTGATATGTTAAAAACAACATAAGGTGTCTCCGAATCAGTCCCCTCCTTCACAGTAAAGCAAGGGGCGCATGTAGTCCCACGTATCCCAGTGTCGTCCTGGTATCTATATGAATGTCCTACAAGAATATCTTAATTTGCTTTTTATATTCACCAATTACATGACCAAGATGTTACACCTCTCCGATGACATTGTCTTATTATCTCATTCTTCCAAAGGTCTTCAGAACAGCATTGATAATCTCTTAGTAGCTTCCAATGTCTGAATGCTGAAAGCTCATCAGCTATAAAGGCATACTGCAGACCTAGCGCAAGCTAGTACAGTAAAACTCTAAAAAAAATGGAAAATGAAAGGACCTGGAAAAAAACTCTACTTAACAGGTTGTCTCGTTAACCAACTGCGTGCCATTATTGAATCATCAATCTTGTTTTGTATTTTTTACACACATCTACGTTGAAACGAGACACAAATAAAAACTAAAATAATAGCCATGGTTTACAATTTGTAATTCATGTTTCAATTTAATCCTGAATAAACATACAAATACTGCAGCCATCTCTTCTCCAGAACACACCTTTTTTGTTTATTGCCTTGTTACGCTAACAACAAATCATTGTGAACTTAATGTCAACTCATTCTGGATATGGGCAATTTGTACTTGCAATGGTCTTGTTAATAATCAATTGCGAATCGCGTTTAGAAACACACTGACTGCTATTCTACTTATCAAGTCAAGTTTACTATGTAACTTGTCTCTGGGGACCAAGGAATGTATCTAGACTATCGGTTTTCCTACCATTTAGTAGGTTTCTACTTATCAGATATTATATAATGATAGTGATGTATGAATACACGATGCTTTTTCGAAAGTGGTCAAATGTAACAAAGTTATATTAGGGATAACACTTTCTTAGTGAAGTACATATTCTAATACTTGAGTGAGGCACCCAATCGCAAGCACACAAGGTCAACCATCTACCCCACTCAGTCATCGAGGCTTCCACAAAATGGAAATCCGACGACTGGTAGTCTTGATCACGTACTTTGTGTACCCCTCTGACAGGTGGAAATTAACACAGCTTCCTTGATCGAAAGCTATGGATACACAATGCCTTTTAAAAAGTAGTCAAATGGAACAAATGTTATATTTGGGATAACACTTTCTTAGTAAAGTACAGATTATAGAACATTTTGGGGGCGAGTCCCATCCGTTATTGGAACAGACTCTCAGAGTGAGGTACCTAATTAAGTTCGAATCCCAGATGGGTTATATGCTGACCCTGTGTGCTGGTGATTAGGTGCCTCACTCTGAAAGTGTGGTTAGAATGGCATCAAAGATATATATGCTAAATATATGATGAACCGAGCAGAGGTGGGACACGTGTATATTTTAATTCTAGTTTGTTGAAAATTAGTAATCCAATTTTAATTGACATGAAACAGTTACATTGAGAATATATACATATGTTGAGAAGATTAATTTTAGTTTCTCATATATAAATAGCCAATTCCCTTCCACAGATTTACCCACCCAAACTAGAAATATAATGGACTAGTGAGAAGGTCTAATCTCTTTCATGTTTATGCATGAAGATTCAGAGTGACAAAACACTCTCCACAAGACTGTATAACATGAGGGATGGCTTAAGCTTTCGAAAAGTCAACTTCCCCTTTATGTCGAGCAATATTCCTGCAGCTCCAGCCTTTGTATCTACGTTTCACAACTTTTGAGGTACACTCGAGTATGCGCCTTCAACCAATTTATAGATCATCATACGACTCTTGCTAAGAAGTTGTTTTATCAAGTTGACAACATTCAAGGTCTCACTTAAGTTTTCAAAAGGTTTCATGGTAGACATGTGGACGACATTTCCAAATTTGAGGCATCAGTGACACAATATATCTGATGCAATTCCCTATTTTGACTTGTACTATTATGTTGCCGTGGTTTTTGTTCAGCTTAACAATTGACTTGCCTTTGCACGTGTTTGTGACGGGTGCCATCAGTGGGACAGGATACGCTTACCTTTTATTATCACTATTTTATAGTGATTCATAAACACTACTCATGATGTAGTAGGAATCCTACAATCGGAGATTTCTTACGAATATGGAAAGGGTTTTATATTGTTGCTTTTATTCCCATCAATTAGCAGCGCCCTCAATCGCCACAGACAGAAGACCATTCCTGTTTTGCCACGGACAAAAAAAATGAGGTTCACTTGGAAGAATCTTGGACCAGTCATCAAATACCATCTTCACGGAATCTGTCTTTCACCGCCTGTCCGGGCCTATGGAACCAGATCTACATAATCCATGCAAGAAACGGTTCCACTCTCTCGTCTTCGCCTTACTTCCAGATGGCCAGACTGGCACCTATTCCAGAATTAAGTTCAGGAGAGCCGCAACCTGTCTCTTGTCCCGAGCTGTGTAGAGACTGAATTTTAGTTGGCTGCCATTCGTGCTATAGGCATCTTGGCTAGTGACTTGAAAGAAACTGCTGATGGATGTCTATGTTTTTGCTCAGAAATACTTAGTCGAATCAATGTGCTTGATGATTAAGATGTGCTATTTAATTTGTCATATTATGGATATTTGTGTGCTTACTCAGAAACAAATCGAACCTATGCACTTGATGATATAAATGTGCTATTTTAATTTGTCATACAGTTGAAACAATAAGTCGCATGTGTTCGTATCAGCTGTGAGGGTAAGGGGATGTTGGGATTTGGGGAGGATAGTGTTTCGGGGGGTGGTACCAGTTGTGCCCACTCGTTTCACGAACACCGAGAGTCATCACTGTCCATTTACACTTAGTTGTCAACGCCGCTTCTGTATTGGCGGTTTCGGTTTCTGTTCTTGTGATGCATTCTGTGTTCCAAAATAATTAAATTTTCATTGTGTTCATTGTAATTCCTGCATTCAGATTAGGTCACGTGTTATTGCATTCATTTCCCAATGATTATAAAACATTAAGCCGCACCCACCGAAGCGGACTACTTTTATTACTACGGAATATCGGGAATCCCAATGTTACCGTCGAAGGATTCCCTTTCTGCTTACCTGTATCGTCATGACTTGTTAGCGAAATACATGCATATTTATGGATCAAGCCATCATTTCAGACCGAAGGCCGAGAAGTAATGAAACAGCAAACGCGCAGGCTCGCATATAACAGTTGTTGTTTCTCGCTCGCCTGGGTTCTACATATTTCATGTCTTCGGGTTTCATTTCTACCCAAAACTTTTCCAACTGTGTCTTTCCGTTTTCAGGGAACTAATGTTACGGTTACTGACCTTGTCATTTGAAACAGCCGCCTTCTCATGGATATATTTGTTCCGGTTTGTTACAGTCTGACTCTCCGTTGATTGGCTACAGATTGTGTGGGCGTGTCATGTTATGTGCATAAATTAAACAATCACCTGATTCATGTCACGCCACGATATGTATTCCTACGCCTGGAATGTTTATCAATCTCGTAATTTCTGTCTGTTTTCATTTCTATAACTGTTTTTGATCAAACTATTGTAGATAACACACGTTTTCGTAGTCGATTTTTTAAATCCTTAATTGAATTAAATATAACCTTCCACCCAGTGATAACCTTCATGTTTTCGATCTGTGGCCAAAACATCATTTGAAACATGGCCCTCGTGAAGATCTGTGTTCGAATTTTCAACAACCAATGCTTGTAAGAGGCGACTAACGGGATCGGGTGGTCAGGCTCGCTGCTTTGGTTGATGCATGTCATCGTATCCCAATTGCGTAGATCGGTGCTCATGATGTCAGTCACTGGAATGTCTTGTACAGACTGGATTATTGCTGCATTATTGCTGTATGCGGCGTCAGATAACAAACAAACCGTTTGTAGCGTGATACGCCAATGTAGACCTCGGATGACACAATAGTCTATATTTTACCATGGTCTGACGTATTAACATTGAGATAACGTTGTAGAAGCGCCTTAAGGTTGGGCTAACTGGGGTCTCACCAACGTAACCACACATGGCGGCTTCCACGGCTCCAGCCGACGGGTTCACCACCATCCTTATCTGTGAAGTCACCAATCAGTAGTGACTATAGTTCCAACTCAGAGGTCGTGTCGCCATTTTCTGTCATCACTAGTGAACATGAAGGTCCTGTTGGTGCTCGCTCTGTCCCTCGTCACGTGCAAGGTGGGTAGGATGGCCGGGAAGGGAGTGTGAGAAGGGAGGATGGACGAGTAGGAAGGCCGGGAAGGGAGGGCGAGAAGGTAGGGTGGCCGGGTAGGAAGGCCGGGAAGGGAGGGCGAAAAGGTAGGGTGGCCGGGTAGGATGGCCGGGAAGGGAGTGTGAGAAGGGAGGATGGACGGGTAGGAAGGCCGGGAAGGGAGGGCGAGAAGGTAGGGTGGCCGGGAAAGTGAGTGAGTGAGTGAGTTGGGGTTAACGCCGCTTTTAACAGTATTCCAGTCATATCACGACGTGTCAACTTAATGTGGAAGGAAAGCCCGAAGTGATGCAGGTCTTAGACGTTTACCACTTCGGTGAAACCCACGAGCACGGGTATGGTGCTGACAAACCTGGAAACATAATCGGGGCGAGCCGGGAAGGCCGGGAAGGGAGGGTGAGAAGGGAGGGTGGACGGGTAGGAAGGCCGGGAGGGGAGGGTGGACGGGTAGGAAGGCCGGGAGGGGAGGGTGGACGGGTAGGAAGGCCGGGAAGGGAGGGTGGACGGGTAGGAAGGCCGGGAGGGGAGGGTGGACGGGTAGGAAGGCCGGGAGGGGAGGGTGGACGGGTAGGAAGGCCGGGAGGGGAGGGTGGACGGGTAGGAAGGCCGGGAAGGGAGGGTGGACGGGTAGGAAGGCCGGGAGGGGAGGGTGGACGGGTAGGAAGGCCGGGAAGGGAGGGTGGACGGGTAGGAAGGCCGGGAAGGGAGGGTGGACGGGTAGGAAGGCCGGGAAGGGAGGGTGGACGGGTAGGAAGGCCGGGAGGGGAGGGTGGCCGGGTAGGAAGGCCGGGAAGGGAGGGTGGACGGGTAGGAAGGCCGGGAAGGGAGGGTGGACGGGTAGGAAGGCCGGGAAGGGAGGGTGGACGGGTAGGAAGGCCGGGAAGGGAGGGTGGACGGGTAGGAAGGCCGGGAGGGGAGGGTGGACGGGTAGGAAGGCCGGGAGGGGAGGGTGGACGGGTAGGAAGGCCGGGAAGGGAGGGTGGACGGGTAGGAAGGCCGGGAAGGGAGGGTGGACGGGTAGGAAGGCCGGGAGGGGAGGGTGGACGGGTAGGAAGGCCGGGAGGGGAGGGTGGACGGGTAGGAAGGCCGGGAAGGGAGGGTGGACGGGTAGGAAGGCCGGGAAGGGAGGGTGGACGTGATAACTCATGTCTACATACACGAAGACTGCTGGCCTAGTGGCGAAACACATTGAACAGATACTGTCTGCATATGGTTCCTTTTAAGTCGATTGTCTAAGATTCAACTACAACGGACAGATTTTGAGCATATATTTATCACAGATTAGCGGGAACATCATAGATATGTGGGAATACTCGAGTTGTGCAAGAGTATTCTAGATGCGCTGGAATACCTGAGAAATGTGGGAATACCTACATATGTTGCCATACCCAGGAGACCCGTGAAGATCCGGGGTAGAACAGGTCTTCAGCAAACCATGCTTGCCGTGAAAGGCGACAATGCTTGTCGTAAGAGGCGACTAAGGGGATCGGGTGGTCAGGCTCTCTGATTTGGTTGATGTCATCGTATCCCAATTGCGTGGATCGATGCTCATAATGCCAATCACTGGATTGTCTTGTCCAGACTCGATTTTTTACATACCGCCATCATATAGCTGGAAAATAGCTGAGTGCGGCGTTAAGCAAAAACAAACAAACAAACAATGTATACCCCAGACGTATACCAGACATGTGTGGGAATGGCTGAAACATGTAGCTAGATATACCCAAGATATGTTGGAATAGCCAAAATTGGAGGGACGATCCTATATATGTGGGAATCGTCTGAATGTATGGGATATGTTTGATTTGCTGGAATACCCAAGATGTGAGGGAGTATTCTATATGTATGGAAATACCTTCCAAATGTTGAAGACGTTGATACGCGGGGAAAACAAGATGTAGAGAAGACTCTTTGGTGTGTTAGAATACGCCATGTCAATACTTCATATTATCAGATACACCTAAATGTGTTATTCTGTTAGCTTTCATGTCATCGAATACTGATTGGGATCACAGGCAGCATCACATGAGCCTCGATCTTACGCTTTATCGCTTATAATATCAAATAACTAATGTAAATTGACCCAAGATGAATTTTTAACCAGATGTGTGCATGTCAAAGATTGATTCATGTTCAGTTAGGAAAACCCCTTACATCAGCATTTCGACACATTTATCCTTATCTATGCACTTAGTGTTGGCATAAGTACCACATATGTGACCCGTGAAGATCCGGGGTAGAATAGGTCTTTAGAAACCCATGCTTGCCGTAAAAGGCGACTTTCCTTGTCGTAGATGCGACCAACGGGATCGGGTGGTCAGGCTCACTGACTTGGTTGATGCCTGTCATCGTATCCCAGTTGCGTAGATCGATGCTCATGATGTCAATCACTGGCTTGTCTGGTTCTGACGCGGTTATTTACAGACCTCCGTCACATAGCTGGAATATTGCCGAGTGCGGCGTTAAACAACAAGCAAACAATCAGACAAACATGTTTATTCAAGTGGATGACGTGTTCAGTGTGAAAAACCCCCACATATGTTATTGCTGAAATGAAGTTTAGTACTCATTGATATATCTGTTAATTTTCATGACAATTTCATTGTTGACTTCATTTCCTAAATTTTGCAGATCCTGTGGGCCATCAAGGCCCGCTATCCTACCTTGTTCTTACATTGCATATGTATCCGGTAGACTGATGTATCCGGTAGACTGATGTATATGTGACAAGTGTTCTTATTTTCTATCAAAGGCGTTCATTCTTAGTAGCTGCAGCACCGATACGGACTGCGGTGCTGATGGATGTTGTGTGAAATCGTTCTTCAGCAGCAGATGTAGTCACCGTCTACCGTCTCTGTCCAGATGCCCCCTCCAAGCAACGACTCACTCCAGCTGTTCTACCATGTGCGCTACAGGTAGGCACAGAGCTCCGCCGTTCTTATCCAACATACCCATCCATAAACTTGACTGAGCGCGAAATCCGGTTCGGCTCGAAGCGCTCGTAAAATCAAATGGGAAACACGTGGTGGATCTTTAGTATATGCATATTTACGAGGGGTAAATCTATTTCAGGTTTGCGAGGGAGAGGGGTTGGAAGTGTCGGGGAGACAACACTATTTTAGTAATATTTCGGCGTATTAGCTTAATGTGGTACGAAAACTTCGACGTTTGCAATTTGATGATACTCAAGAGTACTGAGTGGGTTTACTGCTGAAAATTACTGCTCGTAATTATGGTGAATATTGGATTCGAACAAACATCAGCCGATCCTGGCATGGCAAGGGGAGCAACTCGCACTTGAATTGCGTTGCCCTAGTTACCTCGGCCAGCCCTTCCCTTCAGAAATCGTAATGACCTTGACATATATGTATTTCATTGATGATTGTATAATATGTACACACTGATCCAATGACCGGTGTTATGACGTAGGGCTTTGGGCTTGCTTGAGGGTGTGGATTTGGTTGTTGTTGTCATTACCACCAGCAACGTGTTCACTTTGGCACCGCGTCCCACAATCTCATTAAAATCAGATCTTAGTTCTCGCTACCGTTAAACAAAGATCTGAGGACATCCCATTACGGGTCACGTCAGGCCGACCTTGCGCGAACTTTGACCGACCAATGGAATGACCAATCAGAAGGCAGCTTTCTCGTGCTTTACGGCACTTATTTCAAATTGGCGACTACACTTCGAAACATATTTTGACAAATTCCCGATTACAAATTTGAAACCTGAACACAAAAGAAAAATATTCTGGAATGGCTAATAAATTGTCTAGATTGTAAAGATTCAGTTGTTAAACCCGTAACAATCGTTCGGAATACCCCATGTTAAAATTTTCGAGGTTGCATAATATGAAATCATATTCCGACTGTCACTTTCATAATCTGGGAAGAAACGCTCTGATTGGTCGGATGAAAGGTCGTTCTGACTTGACCCCTAATGGGATGTCTTCAGATCTTTGTTTAGCGGAAGCGAGAACTAAGGTCTGATTTTAATGAAATTGCGCGTCCCAGAGCTGATATATTCAAAAGAAACTTCTGTCCAATGTATTCCGCCCAAATTTAAATGCTATTAATTTCACGTAAAACCACCATGTGATGATTCACCAGGTCTTCAGTGTATTGACGAGAGCTCCCTGGATATCGCCATTGAGCCAGGCTACAACACAGGATCATATGGTCGCTGCGCCCTGCCGTCATCTGGGGCACCTGCCACCAAGGTAGTATCGAGTGCACCTTCCACCGGCATGGCAGTATAAACCAAAATGCCCTCAACAATGTCAAAATAAAAACAAATGATGGCAATTAAAAATGTTGTTTTCTTCTCTGTCCCTGCATCCAACTGTTGCAATCCCCAATATGGTGTTTAAGTAATAAGCTACCGGGTGCAAGAGAGTATGCACTTGATAATTGGATTTGACACACAATTTCAAGCGTTACTAGGGTGAAAACAGTCATTGAAATACTGCAAACTCATGGTCCAAAAACACAGTTCTATTACCCGTATAACAATACATCCCCATTTTTGGTTTGTTCCACTTTTAGCCATCATCAAACACGGGTGTGTACTTTTGCCCCTCAATTTAGTATGAAGTTTATGAATTTATTTAACTTTACCACAACGTCGCAAACAACTGAAACGGACAGCAAAGTTAATCAGTAGACCGTGATGTGGAAACTGTCCGAGTTGTTCGGAATATATGACAGGGACACTATCAAATGTTCTTCAAATGAATAACATATCTCTATTATACTTGTCTGATGTCAATTAAGGATTATGACAAAACAGTATAATATCAAAACAAGATACGGTTTACTTCTCCATATTTTGAAAATATAATCGACTAGACCCTTTCCATATTCATTAGAAATTACAGAGTTCATTGTACGATTCCGACTATATAATGATCATGTGTTTATGTATCGCTATAAAATAGTGATGATACCAAGTGTTGGTTAAAAGGTGAGCGTATCCTGCTCCTTCACAAACACAAGCAGTCAAGTTCAAGTCAAATGTTTACCTGTAGAAAACACGGGAACACATGGTGAAAATAGGGAATAGCATCAGACAATTTGTGTCATTGATGCGATATTGCAAATATCCTCCTCATGTCTGCCATAAAACTTTTTGAAAGCTCTATCGAGGCCTTGAATGTTGTACCCTTGATGAAACAACTTCTGAGCAAGAGTCGTATGACGCTCTTTGAAATCTTGGTGGAAAGAGCAGGCTCGATTGTACCTCACAAGTTATGTATAGACACATAATATCGGTAAGTTGACTGTTGGAAAGTCATCCCTCTTGTCATACAGTCTTTTGTCGAGAGTGTTTGTTGCACTGAATCTCTTATGAATTGATCATAATATGAAACAGGTCTCAATGGTAGGGAAATCTGTGGCAGGGAATTGACTATTTGATTGTTATTGAACGATATCAGACCATGGTATTGGCTCTCTCGGGGGAGATTTTACAGATGCTTCGCGCGCCCTGTTCTTTGCCCTCCAATGCTCAAATTAATAATATTGTAAGTCGGATGGCAATTGGCGACTGCGATCTGACGACCTGACTTGCTCATTTTACTGTCTGCCACATATAAATGATAAGTGTCCATCACATGTTAGAAAGTTCTTGACAAACTTCATTGAGTATTGCCTCAATCGTAGGATTCTGAGTGATAAATCTACATGTACTTTGGTCAACTTGAATACTTGGTAGCAAGTCAAATCACGTTCTAGTCGGATTGCACATGAATCTGCCACTTCTGGGAGGACGGAAACTCGAAATCGACCAAATGTAGACAAATCCTCGAAACAATCCAATGCTCAGTCACACAGAACCAACAAGCCCACCACTGTACTGAATGCCAGCACCAAATCCTATAACTCCCTATCGAAAATCCACTCTGCACCAATTGGTTAGTCACCAAATAACAATTCATACCGTGGCTTATGCAACAGTTATCAGCATCATGTACGTTTTTGTGATGATGTTAAGAAACAGACAGTTGAAGAAGTAGTTAAGTGGATTGAGGAGACGAAAAGGTACCGAGAGTGGGGATGATCTCATTTGCCAAGTGACTGCAATCTCAAGAAAGCATGCAGCACCTGTCAAAAGATACATCTGACAACTCTTCGTGATGCCGCAAAAAAGGGATCTGATAATGTTAACTCAATTAATCAGCCACCATAGTATCTTGACAAATCATCCCAATCATTCAGACTCTTAATCAAAGTTGTACAGGTCTCACTACATGGGCCTAATGGACAAATGATAGACACGCATACCAAACGGATCAATGTTAATGATGCCAGACGTCAAACAACTTGGTCTCCAAAATGAACCAGATAACATACTTCTGACAACTATCTGCAGTGAACCGTTCAACTGTATAAGCCATTCTGTGAACCTGATCATCTTTCCACGAGTTAATCCTGCAAGTACTCCATTAGAATGCTTTTGCCTCTGATCAATTAGGCTTTTCTGAGTACACCTATCCTGTTCTCTATAACAGAGGTATGAGAATCTGCAACATGCTATCCTGCCGGATATTGACAATCCTAGATAGACCATTGATACAAATTGGAACGGATCATGAACGTGTCATCATACCCAGACACCCAAATCTGTTTTGGTCCTCTGGGATCTCCAGTCGCTCTCTGAACAAGGCTTGGGTGGTCTCTTTAAGGAAGCATTGAGCAAACATCAACCGAAAATTAGCAGTTCTTCTTTTCGTCAATACGCAATCCTCCTGTTCTGTTCCTATATGCCTTAAAAAGGTTACACGTTCAAAATTAGACAGTCTGGCAGTTGATCTAATCGAATCAAATACTCTGAAAGTCAAGGTTGACAACTCAACTCATTACGCCACTCCACTTTTCTCTATCAGCTGGAAGCGAATCAGTAATGAACAATCTCATATTTATCGAGAGGAGGTTAGAACAGAAACCTACTCTTTCACAAGTTCATGATCAAAAGATCAAAGAACTAGTTGACAAAGGATTTGTGTGGAGAATAGTGTAACCAAGGCTGCGTCAACTCCTAAATCATCATATACTGAACAACAAAAGTACCTGTGACATTGAATAAGATTTAATGCAAAGTTATGATATTTACCAAATCTGAAACAATTTCGGTTTGCAACAGATATAAGACTCCTGTTAGTGTTCAAATGGTTTAATTTGCCATATTGACTTCAGAAAATGCGTGATTTCATAAAAAAAACATGAACATGCCAAAATGTCAATTTACAAATCAATAGCGTGTTTCCACCTCGGGTTGCGATGCAAGCAACACATCTCCGTCTCATGGAATGGACCAGGCGTCGCACAAATCCTGTGGGATATCTGTCCATATCTGTTGGAGCATGTTTCGAAGTTCCTGGATTGTCTGTGGAACACGTGGCTGACGTCGAAGGCGCCGATCCATCTCATCCCACATGTGCTCGATTGGTGAGAGGTCAGGGGATCGAGCCGGCTAGGGGATGACATTCACGTTCTTTTGTTGAAGAGGATCCTGAACAAGTCGAGCAATATGAGGCCGGGCGTTGTCATGTTGAAAGGTAATGCCTGGCCTCGAAGTAGGAGTTGTTGTCCATGTGCCATCAAGAATTATCAGCAAGAGCGCTCAGTTGTATGAAACACTGATGACTGAAACACACCCAGTACTTGATCCCATGCACCCAATTACTAGATTATTGATCAAGCACTATGACGTCATTACGGCTCGGAGTCCTTGTTCACTGATCTGCGACTAAAGTTCTGGATCCCGAGAGGGAGAGATTCAGTAAACGTCATCAAAGACTATGTATTGAATGGCAGCACTGGAGTGCCAATGGAGACATACCCAATATGGTAGACCTAACACTTGCCAGACACTTCAAACCACCAATGTACATAAAGATTGGTCGCTGCAGGGAGAAGAGATTTGGAGTGATCTTCAAGTGTCTCACCGCCCGAATTGTACACATCTACCTACCTGAATCCACCGGTACTGATGCCTTCCTAATGGCTCTCTGTTGGGTTATTTCACGTCGACGCAAACCTCGCGCTAACTGCTATCCAACTGTGGAACAAACTTTAAAGGAGTTAAAAGGGAACTGTCTGAAACCTTCAAATCCATCCTGTCATGGTCAAACTTCTTGCCAATCGACAGATCCAGGGTAGAATAGTGTCCTCAGCACCCCATTGCTTGTCGTAAAAGGTGACAAAATTGGGCATCCCGTTTGCCGTGGGTTGCACCCCTGTGTCCGTGGAGGAAGGGATTCTGGTGGTTGAGAGAACCGGTGTTCATTTTGCCCAACACACCACTTCGACCCATATTTGATCTAGACAGGGAGGTAGAATAATTCGTCTGATTCTATCAATCTGCTGCTAGAACGTATTCTGCTACAACTTCTGTTAAGAAAGTAAATACAGTTTCAACGTCATGCCAAACAACCTTATCTTGTGTGAGAGACCATCAGATCATCCTAGCTGATGTCACTCCCATCACTCAGACTCAGTCACATGTCTCAACTTCAGCTTCACACACCGAGTTCACACATTATGAACAAGAGCCAGATAAAGAAAATGAACAGGTCTAGAGCAATGCCCACATTTCTAAAATGGAGAAAATACAGATTGGGAGAAGGTCTAGGGCCCTCCAACATTTGGAGGTTCCTTCTTCTTTGTCATCCCCTGTGGAGGTCCAGAATACGTTTTGACCTCTTGAGATGCCTTCACCTCGTGCCTGATCACCAGTTGAACAACCATGAGTCCCTGACGTATAATTCAATGGAACTGGAGAGGACTTGAGAATAATGTGAATGACTTAAAGTTATTAATACAATATATTAAGCAGTGAGCATTTTGTATTCAGGAAACCTCTTTAAAAAATACCGATCACTTTAATATAAGACAATTAAGTACAAGTACATTTCGGTAATCAGCTTGAGGTTCAACAGTTTTGGTGAAGATAAAAGAAGATTTCATTTCTAACAATGATTTATGTACTTTCAATGATAATTCTGAAACCTATTTACATCCTGGAACAGGTACGTACTATCTCTTGATTTATCTCTTACAAACTCTGATCTTCTTAATTACCCCATCTGACGTTTCTCCTTCAACAAGATATATAGAACTTTTCCAAAGCGAACTGGCTATTATTTGAAATACTGTCTCGACACAAATTAGCAGCTGCCATTTTTACTGACGTTTGTGATCCAATACAAACATTCTCCGATGAACTGACTAAAATAGCTGATGCATGTTTTCCTAAGTCATCTGCAAATCCTCACATCCGTAAACCATGGTTTAACAATGACTGCAAACAAG